CTGCTACACAATTTAAGGGCATGCATATGTACCAGAATAAAATGCAAAGTTTTCTCTTTCATGCTTGCATCCTCATGGACAAACTTTTTGTTTAGTTCACAACCTCTATACACAATCATATCAGCCCCACCCAGCTTAGCTATTCTCCACAACCGCATCTTAAAGAACAGAAATGCAAACAATCAGTAATTAACTCACTCTCCAACAGACAACACAGGTATGTGTATGTGTAAGTATTTGTCCACACACATACACACTGACATGACAATTGCAGTACCCTTCCCTATACCATAGTCCTTGCCCATGCTAATCACTGGTGAGGCCAATGACATTACGACTTCATCTAAACTAATAATTCTGAAAAACTAATAACTACAACAGCTATAAAATCAATTGCAAAGCATTATATCATTATATACATAACAAGTCCAAAATTGTTTGTTTAGCTCATGGCCTCTCCCAAAAACACGTACTCCATACCTCCTGGGAGCTGCTTGAGTGTAACCTTTAAACCATTAGGATAGTTAGTCAGATTAAACTCAGTCAAGGAGCTGGTGATCTCCAAAGAAGTGAAGACATCACCCTGAACCATGTTACGGACCACTCCAAAGTACAGCTTAGGCTTGAGCATGAAGTCAACTTGATTGCCAACATGGACATCCTTCTGAACGACTAGAAGACTGCCATACTTGTAGACACCAATGTCAAACATGTTTCCACTCCATGTAGCTGGTGGAATGTTCTTGATGACAATGGACCCATTTGGATTAGTGGGAGCCGTCACTATATTAGATATAAAAATGAATAAATCATTTGTATGTATTACCTTCTTTGAGGGTTGCTGGGGAAGAGATGCTGTCTTGAGTAATCTCCCAAGTTGATCCTAGTTTTGAAGGGAATGGTCCAGCCGAAATGAATTGTCCAGAGCTAGTGTAAGTAGCACCAACATCCATGGAGACAGGATAGACAAATTCGACTTGGGTCTGTCCCCTCAGGACCTGCCAGGCAACATAGTACGCCTCTGGACTGTTGATATTGAAGTTCTTTGTGAACACAACAACTTCAAAATCAGTGTTTTGAGTTTCGTTGAGGTAAGAAATCCTTATATCATGGAAAGTCATGACTGTTGAGCTGTTGCAGACAAATTTAGGAAGAAGTCCCTTTTTGTTAGTACCAATTTAGTCTTAGTTGGACATTGATTGGACAAAAAACTTGGACATTGATTACTATAGCTAGGAAATTAATGTTTTCGTCATCAACCGTCACGTGTAGCCCCACCCAAATATGGCAGCCTGCAGCTAGTGCACAATCTCGACTATTGTACCTCTAACCTCTACCTCTAACCTCTACTGTGGTTGCTGCCACCTCCATCTGTCTTTTCTCTGGTTTTGGTGACTGTTTCTAGCTGGTATAGAGCCCAACTGTGAAGAAGAGAGTTATATATCTATAATTATAAATAAAGACACAAAACCTATTTCTTTACATTCATTTAGATTTTCTTTGCTGTGAGATTTGATTGAATTATAGCAGACTACAGAGTGATCAAAATTAAAAGCCTTCCCCTAGTGCCTTAGGAATGTCCCATTCACTTCTTTCCCGCCAAATGGTAGTTGATAGTTCTGCGCATGTGCAGGAATAGACTTATCAACGAATTATTAATAAACTGAGCCACGCCTTACCACCAGCCCCACCCAGCTCTACTCTGCAACCTCGCCCATTCCAACCGCATCTTAAAAGAACAGAAATGCAAACAATCAGTAATTAACTCAGTCTCCAACAGAAACCATGGGCAAGAAACAATCCAAGATATCCAGTGAAGATGTAGAGGACTTGTTGCAGACCACTCACTGTATGTAGATCATTTAATAAATCATTGAAAATGTTTGACTGTTTAATATGTTTTCTGTAGTTACTGCCAAGGAATTACAAAAGTGGTACCAAGGCTTCCTTAAAGACTGTCCCAAGGGTGTACTAGAGAAGCAAGTAATTCCTCACATTATACTGTTAATGCAATGATTTTAATGTATAATCTCTGTCTGTAGGAGTTTTGTCGTATTTATCAACAGTTCTTTCCATTTGGCGATCCCTCCACTTTCGCTGGCTATGTGTTCAACTCTTTTGACACAGACAGAGATGGGGTTGTTGCCTTTAAGGAATTCATGTATGCACTCTCAGTAACGTCAAGAGGCACTCCAGAAGAAAAATTAAACTGTAAATACATTATGGATGCACTTGCATTGGATATGTTGCCACTATTGTGACAACTCACAGCATGCAGGATCTATGCAAAATGCAAATAAAGGAGCATGCACTGTGTATAATATATAAGGAAACTGAGCCATTGTGTAAATGTATGAAGGTTGAATCATCTCCTATACATAGAATGTGTTAAACAATTTAGACATTTCCTTTTAGCTTGTAAACAGGATTGTATACGATATGCATGAGTTAATAACCAATAGCAACAGTAATTAAGGTACATGCACTACATCTGACAACCAAATGCTGTGGCTATGAATGTTATGCTTTGTGTATGAGCAAGATGCAGCAATATCTTTGTAATTTAACAAGTATAATTGCACTTTTATCATGTTACAATGTTGTTTAACAACCACCTTTGATCTTGTAGGGAGTTTTAAACTGTACGATATTAATTGCGATGGATTCATTTCAAAAGATGAAATGTCAGCTATTGTAGACTCGCTCTATAGAATGGTGGTAAGCTACAGTGTTATTGCAAATATAAATTATTATTGTAAAGACAGTGTATTTTTATGTTTTTCTAACCTAAAAGTATACGTTTTATACAGTTTAATATTACTGGCATTTTGTGTATAGAACAATAGGTCAAACTGTACTTCCTGAGTTAAAGAGACAATATGAAGTGTTAGATACACGATAGTCTGCATGCATGCTTACATGCATCAATGTCTTTCAAAACACCATCAACATTGCAATTATATGCATAGCTGCATACCATTTTGTGTGGTGCTCAATTGATCTACTTAAAAGTGAAATTGTTTGCATACCTTATAGGGAAGGATGATTATTTTTGACAACAAGGAAGACACTCCACAAAAGAGAGTAAAGGCAATCTTCGAATCTATGGACCTGGTGAGAGAATATAATCATTTCTAAAGTCAATTTTTGAGTGTACTAGGGCCACACTTTAAAAGTTTAACTGAAATAATCACATTCACTACACTACCTTATTGCTTTGTAAAAAAGCATCTATTTCTTAGTCACTGTATACTACATAGCTGTGGCTAAATGAATGTGAATTTGTATATACATGATAGTGAGAAATAATAAACATGTGCCTTATTTATAGGATGGAGATGGGAGAATTAGTCAGGAGGATTTCTTAACAGGTGCACAACAGGATCCAATCATAATGCGCTCTCTTAACTTATTTGAAGGGATCGTATAGCTTCACTGCTTCAGCCGTGTGGTGTCAATAACACTCACTATAAAAAACACTTTGAAAATCACCACTTCCCCATCCTCACTTTTTAACAAACTGATTCATGTATTTGTTTACAAGTTATAGAAACTGTTTGTTGTTTATTATTGTGCATTATATAGGGCATGTTTGCTTTGTAAATATACTAATTTTACCGTGCAATTTGCACTTTTCAAATAATGCAAGTGTTAAAATTTATTGATGGGATGGCTATTTTGCACATAGACACAAACAAGGACATTCATGCATAATTTTCATTACAATTGAGTAGTTACTCTAAATGCATGAGTAGACTGGCTATTATCATACTAATTTGTTTTCGGATCCTGTTATTTTAATCAGAATGGATAACATTTGATGCGAACTATGAAGGCATTTATACGAAATGACAATACAACTTCATCTAAACTATAATAATGTTGAAAAAAACTAATAACTACAATAGCTACAAAACGATTGCAAAGCACTATATATAATAAGTTTAAAGCTTTTTATTTAGCTCATGGCCTCTCCAGAGAACTCGTATTGGCCACCTCCTGGGAGCTGCTTGAGTGTAACCCTGATGCCATTAGGATAGTCACTCAAATCAAACTCGGTCAAGGAGCTGGTGATCTCCAAAGAAGTGAAGACGTCACCCTCAACCATGTTACGGACCACTCCAAAGTACAGCTTAGGCTTGAGCATGAAGTCAACTTGATCGCCAACATGGACATCCTTCTGAACGACTAGGAGACTGCCATTCTTGTAGACACCAATGTCAAACATGCGTCCGCTCCATGTAGCTGGTGGAATGTTCTTGATAACAATGGATCCATTTGGATTGGTGGGAGCCTTCACTATTAGAGAAATGAATTAAACAATGAGAAAAAATCATTTGTATATTACCTTCTTTGAGGGTTGCTGTGGAAGAGATGCTGTCTTGAGTAATCTCCCAAGTTGATCCTAGTTTTGAAGGGAATGGTCCAGCCTTCATGATTTTTCCAGAGCTAGTGTAAGTAGCACCAACATCCATGGAGACAGGATAGACAAAGTCGACTTCGCTCTGTCCCCTCAGGACCTGCCAGGCAACATAGTAGACCTTTGGAGTGTTGATATTGAAGTTCTTTGTGAACACAACGACTTCAAAATCGGTGTTAGCAGTTCTATTGAGGTAGGCAACTTTTATATTGGAAGTCATGATTGCTTGAGCTCAGTGTTGAAAAGGATAAACTTAGGAGAAGACTTTTCTGTTAGTATCAAGTTCCTTGTACCTCTAGCAAGAAGAGTTGCTCTCTTTATATAGAGACTAAGCTAATTACTAGTAGACAGTTGGATTATTAGTGTCATACACTGAGCTACACTACCACTCTGCTACAGAAACTGCTTAATCACTGTAGGCAAGTTTATGACAACTGTAGAGCAGCAAATTAAAATGATTATAAGCCAGTATATGTGCATTATATTTTACATGAAAGAGTAGCTAAATTTTAATGCTAATAGTTAACATGTACATATGCTCTTGCCTCTTAGTTTGTCTCTAATTTCTTTCCATTATTAATTGGTGCAGTCTCCATATTGTTATACTAACAAGTGGCAGCTTTGATGTTATTGTCATCTTTACACATTTTTCAAAGGACTCCATTACTATATACACAATATTGAGAGCGTAAAATAAAATCAATAATAATTTTACCTTGGGGAGGTACTGGGTGATCATATTTACTTAAAATCGTCTCCAAAACCTTCAAAACGTGTCCTAGAGTATTTATTTGATAAGCAGCTGTAAAATGATCTAAAATTACATTACATTTAATGATCATGCATTTCTTTCAGTCTTTAAGCCTACTTTGCTTAAGGTTGGCTAAATCCTTGGTTGACTCTTCAATAAAAGATGTTAGTGATTGAATTACTTGTGTATGAATGAAACCAACTGATGACAGCTGGTACAATAAAGATTGTATAAACGAAATTTTATCCTACCAAAATACAATAGAGTACATACTTATCCACTTGACTGACTGTATCGTTTGATGGATGACATAATCTTTCTGTGAGCATTTTCACAAATTTGCCAGCTGCTTCCATTATTTCATGTCTAAACGGCATCAATGGCTCGTAATTCATGAAAGCTACATGTACAAGTAGCGTAATGGTGTTAATAATCATGACAATTAATATTTGATTACCAGCTATAAACTGAACTAGCTTGGCTGACACTTCTTCAGTAAGTGGCGATTGGTGCAATGGCTGAGTTTTAGGATACTCAACAAGTACTAAAATAGCAATTATACAATCATAAAAATGCTATAATCTTTACTATCAATAGCTTTTACAATCGATTCTTTTAAAGTTGCAGCTGCTTCAAGACTGTACCCAGAAAGTGATGTATTCGCCTTCAATAAACTTGAAGCTATGTGCACAAAAATAGATCACGTGATTGACATGTGACATATTTAATGTCCATGTACCAGTTTGAAGGAAAGCTATGTGAGACTGAAGCTCTACTGATGGTGATTCGAGCTCAATGTTACTAAATATAGAACTAGAATCCTCAATTGAAAACTGCATATCTAAAGTATACATGTATACATGCATATGCAGGTCTGATTTCTCAATACCTTCTGGTTGAGTGATTTCTACTGGCGATTGAGATTGGTTTAATAAAGATAATTTTTGCTTAACTCTTAATAATTCTTGACTCAATTTCTCAGCCTGCAAAAGTCAATATTTATATGAATATTATTATTTCTTTTATTATTTTAAAACTTGCATGTTCCCTCCAGTTGATTTGCTCCTGTACAAACTTTCTCTGGAGATTTTTAGCATATTCACGTGAGCTGGGAACATTTGCAGGTTTCTGTCTAATAATAGCAACTGCCTAATAATAAAAATACATTAAAACACATTATGCACCACATGCACCAAAGCAATCTTCATGAAATGAATTTCATGCTCTGTAAAAGTCTCCATTTTATTAAACCGCGCCCACACCTCATGAATAATTAATGAGCCATGCCTACCTAATGAGCTGTAATGACCACACCCTAAATATTTGATCAGCCACGCCTTCTTGCTGCAAAAGCCAAAAGGAGAAAGAGGCAAAGAATAAAGACGCTATTAAAAGAGGAGAGGGCTCTATAGGGAAAGGATTGGACCGTCCCCGCCTGTAGGATCATACCTCCACTGCTGTAGACTGTAGCGGTTGAGGCGGGAAGGTGAGATGAATCTCTAGTATAGGCATCCCTAGCATTATGTATACATAATTATGCTATTTTAATAACATTATTGCAATGTTTTCTTTATAGCAATTCAAACTACACGTAATACTACACGTGGTTACATACATGTACATGTACTTTGCTTTTCTCCGGCAGATTCTGTTTTATGCTGGCTTGCTGACACCTCGTAATAGCCACACCCCTCATTAATTAATACATGTACTATTACATGTACATGTAGAGGTGTTAGATCCTTTGAATGTCACAGACTTTTGTTGCATGTACATGTACAGTGTAGAGCACCTGTTTTGTTAGCATAAATAATGAGTTTGCTTTATAACATTTTATTTGAATAGCTTCTCTCTTACCCTCTCTCTCTTTCTCTCTCTCTCTTTTCTTCTATATATTATTATTGTAAAATTTATGTATTTTTCTAATTAAATAATCACTCCTCCTTATTGCATTGTTAATTCCCAGTGTTAGCCAATCCTGTACTTTAGTGTGTTCTGTTTAAATGAAACATCAGACAACATTAATTTTGAGATATGCATGTACAGTATACGATTGTGAAATAATTCCAGAGAATTTCATAAAGACATGTGTACATATGCATGTATGAAATTCACTGTACATGTACACTGACCATTTATTAATGTTTTTATCATTGCTGTTGCTAGTATAAATTTTGTTGTTGTTTTTGAATTTGTCATGGGGAAATACTGAAAGTGTCTTTGTTGATCTGGTGTGGTTTTTCTTATCTCTCTCCCTCCCTCCCCCCCTCTCTCTCTTTCTCTAACCCCTCTCTCTCTCCCTCCCTCCCCCTCTCTCTCTTTCTCTCCCCTCTCTCTCTCTCTCTTTCTCTCTCCCTCTCCCTCTCCCTCTCCCTCTCTCTCTCTTCCTCTTATTCTCATGTCCTGTGTTCATAAGTGCCTCTTTGATGTGTCTTTGTCATTGTATGGTTTTACTTATCAAGAGAGAAAATAACAAAACACATATGTACATGTACACTGGTCTGAGATCATAATACTAAGTGTTAATAATAATAATATCTATATCCAGCATTAGCACTAATAAACAGAAAGTGTTTATCTTTAACCCACTCTCACTTTTCTCTCCTCTCTCTCCCTCTCCCTCTCTTTTTTTCTTTTAGGTGGATAGATATTAATTTCTTTCTCTTTATTTTAAAGTTTATTAAGCAACAGCTCCTTCATTCATTACTATTATTAATGGCTAATTCTAAGGAGGAGATTTTTGAAAGTTCCGTCAATAGCTCTGGAGACCCAGTCAAATGGGCGGAGTCTCTTTTCGAACAGATGCAGAGTACCATGCAGTTCTTACTACAGAAATATCAAGTATAAATAATAATAATAATAATAATAATAATAATAATAATAATAATAATAATAATAAGATGCATCTACTTTATATTGACCATAAGTACTCTAATGTATAAATAAATATAAATAATAGCAAATATTATTTATTAATAATGATTATTATTAATAATGTTATTAATAGATACAGGAGATTGATCTGAGGAGTATGCTGAATGTGATTGGTCAGTTATGGGAACTGGTGGAGGAGACTCAGACCTCGTCCGAGAATACAAGGGACCAACTGAGGGAGCTTGAGGAGAAATGGAAAGAGGAAAAAGGAATAAGGAGACTAGTGGAAAAGGTAAGGGAGAGGGAGAGAGAGAGGGGTTGGAGGGAGAGAGAGAGGGGGGAGGGAGAGAGAGAGATACATGCATACGTGTACATTGTTCTATGTACATTGTAGCAGGAAAAATATTAGTGTTTTTTGCTATTGGAAATTTTATGCACTGTGTAATTATAATTTAATATTTGTTTGTTGTTTTTAGAGGAAGTCAGAGCTTGAGAGTCGGTTTGACGAGGAGAGGTATCAGTGGCAGGGGGAGAAGCAGGAGCTACAGAAAGAGAAGGTTTTATTGGAAACCAAGAACAAGCACCTCATGGAAAGAAGTATGGAGATACACACATATGTACATGTACATGTACATACATGTACACAATTTGCATGTATCTTTTTGTGTTTTTCTCTCCTTCATCTGCTGCTTTTTTTTTTCATTAATATTTTCCATTTCTTTAGATGAGGATTTGCTTGAGGACATTAAAAAGCAAAGAGATCAGTTTGACGATAACCAAAGAATGAGAGACGAAGTAATTAATTAACTTATTATTATTATTATTAATTTATTTATTTATTAATAGTTAATGGATCAGTATAAGAAGCAGTACGAAATAGCCAGGACGTCATCACTAAGGTTTTAAGTTGCAAATATCATTATTTATTTTATTATTATTTTAATTTTTTAGACGGACTAAAAAATCTAAAAATCCCAGGTCCCTACCCGGTGTCCCAGGGGGTCCAGCTGAATACAGCAACCCATCAAGACGGCAAATGCCAGTGCCAGTCCACGCCCACTCTAATCAAAGCCACGCCCCCAATTACTATCAGTCTACCAGTAAGTAAATTAATGCGTAATTCTTTTCTCTCTTAAGAATCATTTCTAGTCGAATTTTGAATTATTTAGAACTCTGATTGTTCATGTACTACATGTACATGTACTTATACATGCATAAATACATACATGTACATACATGTATGTACATGTACATGTACATGTACATGTACATGTATGTACAGTATGTATGTATGCATGCACCTATTTTTTAGTGATTGTATCTCTTACATTTACATGGACTTGTTGCACTGTAAATTTTTAAGTATAAAAACACTCTCTCTTTCTCTCTCTCTCTCTCTCTTTCTCTTCCTGTAGTTCCTGAAGGGGTACAAGGTCACGGTATGTCTAGTTTGAGTCCCAAACGTACTAAAGATCCAAAGAACCTTGTCTCACTAAGAGGTGAGATGGAGTATCAATCAATGGAGGATGAAACTGAATCCAATAATGAACCACCAGCTACAGAAGATGTGAGTTTGTTTTGATAATAATATTTGTATGTTATTTATAAGCTTCTTATTTATTTACTTTTTCCATATCTTTTTAAAACTCTCATATCTTCGGAGTTTCCTACAAAGCATGCTAAGTATGGTGTCAGCCATTTATTCTTAATTAATACATGTACATGTACTTGTACAGACTTTCTGATAATTATTGTCTTTCTTAATGGTACTGTACCCCTCTCTCTCTCTCTCCCCCCATCTCTGCTCTCTCTGCGTCCGTCTCTCTCGCCCGCCCTCTCTCTCTCCCTCTCTCTCTCTCCCTCCCTCTCTCCCTCTCTCTCTCCCTCCCTCCCTCCCTCTCTCTCTCTCTCTCCCCTCCCTCCCTCCCTCTCTCTCTCCCTCTCTTTCTCCTAGTATGAGTCAATGCTTCCTCCTGGCTATCATGTCACACTCCAGCAAGAGCTTCTCAATGTCAGTCCTGATATTTTGGCTCCGGCAGCTGCTGAACTTGAGGTCTTGAGGAAAGAGCTTGAAGAGACTAAGAAATCAAACGATCACTTGAAATCGCGTTTGGAATCAGTGAGATTAGAGAAAGAGGATATTGAAGGGTAAGGCTTGTGATTAACTCATTTTATTTAATTTTAATTTTTGATTAATTTTTGTTTATTTTTGTGGCTACTACAGTGACTGTGCTCAAGTTGCTTTGGAGGTTGGGTATTACAAAAAAGAAATGCAAGAACTGCAGGAGCAACTAGCACTGTAAGTGTATTAATGACTAATAGTTTTATAGCATTTTTAAAAAGGAGCAAATTTTTGAAAAAATCCCTGTACTATAGCCCATGGTTTTTTTCCGAAAAATGGCTCCGAAATCATCCCCAATTTATATTACATTTTCTGATACATATTGATGTACTTATGCTGTGTAGAAAGTTTGAGCTGATTCCGACTTCAATTTTTCAAGTTATGGCCATTTTAAAAAATGAGCCAAAATCCGAAAAATACCCAAGGCTATAGCCCATGGTTTTTTCCAAAAAATGGCTCCAAAATCACCCTCAATTTTTATTACATTTTCTGATACATATTGATGTACCTATGCTATGTAGAAAGTTTGAGCTGATTCTGACTTCAATTTTTCAAGTTACGGCCATTTTTAAAAATGAGCCTAAATCTGAAAAGTACCCAAGGCTATAGCCCATGGTTTTTTCCAAAAAATGGCTCCGAAATCACCCCCAATTTTTATTACATTTTCTGATGTACTTATGCTATGTAGAAAGTTTGAGCTGATTCCGACTTTAATTTTTTAAGTTACGGCCATTTTAAAAAATGAGCCAAAATTCGAAAAATACCCAAGGCTATAGCCCATGGTTTTTTCCAAAAAATGGCTCCGAAATCACCCCCAATTTTTATTACATTTTCTGATACATATTGATGTACTTATGCTGTGTAGAAAGTTTGAGCTGATTCCGACTTCAATTTTTTAAGTTACGGCCATTTTAAAAAATGAGCCAAAATCCGAAAAATACCCAAGGCTATAGCCCATGGTTTTTCCCAAAAAATGGTTCCGAAATCACCCCCAATTTTTATTACATTTTCTGATACATAATATTGATGTACTTATGCTATGTAGAAAGTTTGAGCTGATTCCGACTTCAATTTTTCAAGTTATGGCTCCTGGTATGAGCATTTACTTGTACAGTATAAATTTAATTCTTTTGTGCCACGATTTTGAATCATTAATTTTTTGTTAATTATTTTTAGGTTAAGAGCTGAACGTGATGAGATATTAGAGTGTTATCTTGATCAGGTAAATACATGTGCTTGTATATCGACACTATTTCTATCTCTCTCTATCTTCATATGTTTCCATAGCCTTTCGATGTTTATTGTGTAACAAAGAAGGAGCTTCATGAGGTGTTAAAGAAACTCCACGAAACACAATTAGAAGTTCATAGACAAAATGAAGAGAAGCAAACGTAAGAGTACAATACTATAACTATTATTATTATTATTATTACTATAATTAATTTGTCTATATATTTATTTATTTATTATTAAATCCACTAGTCTTAGGATGCAGCTGGAGAAAGGTCGTAAGAAAGGAGGATGGAAGAGGTTAATATTAAAAATATTTATAATCCCCACTTTATAATAATCCTACTTTTAGGTTTGCTGAGAAGTTTAGAAATGTTTTTCATCGTCATGACAATTCAAATAAAGTCGAACCGATAATAAATCACGTAGAAGAAACATACACTAGGTAAGTATGATAGTATCTATTTATAGAATCATATGTTACTATAAATAGAATCAATATGTACAGTTAACTTTAAATGGAAGTAATAATTTGTGAAGCAAAAATTTCATTTTTATTTTTGTGCATGCATGCTACCAAAATGCTAATACTGTATTGTGCTTTATTTTGGTGGTGCTTTATTTTGGCAATTTTGCTGTGAAATTGTATTTGGCGGTTTTTAATTTGGCGATTTTTGTGTACACGTGCATTACTGAGCATGCGCATTAATGATTGGCAGTTTTAATATTGGCAATTCTGTTTGCAAACCGCCAATCGCCAAAATAAAACTCCGCCAAATTAAAGCGTTATACAGTATAACATGTACATGTATGTACATGTTATACTGTATGTACATGTACATGTAACTATAATTACATGTACAATCGTATTTTTCTTCTCTCTCTTTCTCTCTCTCTCAGTCTTTCTGTTCCATCTGAGGCCCCATTCTCCCCTCATGATCCAAGCTATATAAAGTCCCTCCCTGACTTCGAGCTCAGTAAAGGTTGGCTAGTCCCTAAGGATGGCCTCCCTACTTTGGCCTCCCTCCCTTCTCTCTACTGTCAGATTACACTCAAGGAGTATCACGTGACTGAAAAGGTAGGTCACATGACTATTGTGTGACTATGTAGGCTTTGTTCTTGTTTAACAGATAAATTGTATGGCTGTTGGTTGTGTGTCTCATTCTGTGAGTCTCTCTCCTTCAAGAAAGAGGTTAAACTTGTTACCATTAGCAGGTACACCTCCTTCTACACTGTAATAATATAGAGACCTCCAATGCATGTGTTCTTGAGTTGTGTGTTAAATGTGTGTCACAACTTACATGTATTTTTTTCTTCTCTCTCTCTCTGTCCCTCTCTCTCTCCCTCCCTCCCTCTCTCTCTCCCTCCCTCTCTCCATCTCTCTCTTTCTCTCTTTTCTCTCTAGCTCGTACCATGAGGGGTAGATTGTCTGCTCAAGTTTGGGTTGCTTCCTCTGAAGGACCAGCTAGCTTCATAGAAATAATTGATGTATTAGCGAAGGTAAGTCATTAATATTTTTGCCTTTTTACACATGTATCACTTAACATTTATAAGTTACATTATTATTATTATTATTATTATTGTTATTATTCTCTCCAGTTGATTGTGTAGTGTAAACTCTGATTTGTCTATTTTTTTATTATTTATTTATTTATTAATTAATTTATTTATTTATTCATTCATTTATTCATTTATTTATTTATTTATTTATTTATTTATTTATTTAGAGAGTGGTGGATCGGTTCCTAGTCAAGGGTACACAGGTCATTGGTATGGTGGCGGTCCACGGTCGCCTCTCTCCCTCTAGAACCTCCTCCCCTACTCCTCTAACACCCTCCAAAGACTCCGGCGACCTTTTCAAAGACAACTACCATCCTCACTGGTTCTCATCATCACCTAATCCTTCAAACGATACCCCAACCAAGCAAACTCCACCCTTATACGAAGTACCGGCCGATCATCTTCTAAGCTCGGGGTCGTCAAAAGAGGGGGGTGTGGTCGATCAGCCCCATCCATTGGAGAGCAGTGATACTGGAGATGAAGAGCAAGATGGAGGTAGATTAGTAGGTGGGGATATGGTGACTTATAGCACTCCTAAGAGAGATGATGATCACAGTGTTCTCTCCTACGGGTCCAATAACTATACACTTGGGAAGGAGGATATTAGTAAGATTGAGAATACCTTCATGTGGGTCATCTCTGATACTGAAACGTAAGTTTAACTTGTACATGTACATGTACATGTACATGTACATGTAAACTTTATACAATGTATGCAAATTACCTTAAATATTATGTACTCTTGCTGTATGTAATGATGGAGCTTTTTCTCTCCATCTTCATGTACATGTAAATGTACTTATGTTGCATATAAAGTTTGAGTTGATTCTAATCAAAATTGGATTTTTTTTTGCAAATTTTTAAAGTTGCTCAAAAATTGGGCCAAAAATAAAAAGGAGAGAATTTTTTAATTTTTATATTTTTTTACACAATACAAGTGTACATGTACATGTATGTACATGTACTGATGTACATGTACATGTACAATCAAGGCAGCTATAGGGTGTGTTAATTCATTTACTATCTCTCTCTCCCCCCCCTCTCTCTCTCTCCCTCTCTCCCGCCCTCTCTCTCTCTCTCCCTCTTTCCCCCATAGCCTCAATATATACCCAGTACAGGATCAGTGCAGTAAACCAGTGAGGTCTATTACACTCCCTTCAATGCCTTCTTGCATTAAGTGAGTCTGTTTGTATAATGAAATGCATGTTGTTTTTATCAGTATCACTGCTTGTTTGGGTATTGTTGTTGTTATTGTTTTCTTTTATTTTGTTGTTGTTGGTTTTAGGCACTTTGATAACATGGTATGCATTGGACTGACCAATTCAAAACTGTTAGTGTATCATTTTGAAACAAGTGAGGGAGGAAGGGAGGGAGAGGGAGGGAGGGAGAGAGAGAGAGAAAGTCAAAGAAGAATAAAGTATGGAAGAAAGATCATTTTCTTAGTAATTGATAAAAGAGGATATTTTCATGACATATATTTCCAAAAAAGGTTATGTTTAAAATTTAATTCCCACAGTTACTTCTGATGGCAGTTGGGACACTGATAATCACACTGATGTTGAGTTGCCTCTCCTTAATCCGGAAAAGCCTCAACCGGTTTATTCCGTTGAGCTGGTTGGTAATAAGCTATGGGTCACCACAGGCAGTTTTATATCTTTGTTGAATGCAGAGACTCTGGAGAGAGAAGTAGG